TTTTTTTTTCACATTCTGTCTCTCACAGTTGAAGTGTACCTCTGGTGCAAATTACTGACCCCTGTCATCATTTTAAGTGGGGGAACTTGCACAATTGGTGGCTGACTAAATACTTTTTTGCCCCACTGTATATTGTTTTTTCTTCACAGTTCAGTCTTTTAGGTTATGATCTAATTGTTCTTCAGAAAAAGGCAAGTGCATTCAGAGTGCATCAGGAAGTTACCTTTCTTCCATGATCAGTGAAAGTGGTAAATATGCTTGCCTACTGGTCTGCATGCAGCTAGCTAGCTAGCCAGCACCAAAGATCCTTATTCAAAGTAATATGCAGAGAATGTATGACTATGTCAAGTGGTTAGATGCTCATTCTGCATGGTTGGGCAGGTCGAGGGGGAAGCAAGTCGACTGGGAAATGCATGGGTTCTTCCACCTGACGATTTTGATTTTGACTCTGAAGGGGAAGCCCCCCCCCCAAAAAAAAAGTATCCAGAGAGTTAACACGTTTTCCAGCTCTTAGCCAGAGCACTATCAAATTCAAATCGAATTACTGCCCTGTTGCAGTCTTCTGAAAAGCTACAGTAAAACCCATCAATACCTGTTTGTTTGTCTGTGTGCACCAAGTTCAACAGTTTCTTGTACACTTGTGCATACAATGACGCTCATCTAATCTTAGCTGGCATCATGCTTGCATCTTTAGCAGTAATAACATAATTTTCTGCATGACTCCAGTCTTACAGAAAACAATTCAGTATGATATTGAGGAACACATTGTTGTTGAGGAACGTCTTTACAAGGTTGCTTCAGTTCATTGAGGTTTGTGGGTATTGTGTTTATGCACAGTTCTCTTAAGGTAAAGCCAAAGCATTTCAATCATGCAGAGGTCCTAACTCCTAACTTTCACTGGGACGTTGCAACACTATTTTCCTCCCAAGAGTTTCTGCTGTAGATTTGCTACGATACGTGGGGTCATTTTTTTCTTGCATGACTCAATTTGGGCAAATGGTCACACATTTGGGTGCCACAGTAGCATGGTGGTGACTCTATGTCTTAACTTAAATCTGAGCAGGTTTATTTTAATATAAAATGATACAACTGAGAAACAGTTTGTGCAAAAGAACTCAGGCAAGTAATTTTGCAACAGTACATTTTTAAAAGGACAGTGACGACAGAGAAATGGGATATTTAGCTACTATAAACAAAACTGAAGGCAGACACACAAGGATCAACTGAATGTGGCAGCAGTAAAGGCTTGGGAAAGAATCTGAAGGGAAACATAGCATTTAGTCATGGCCATGAGTTCTAAACTTAAAGAACGAGAAAAAGCATTACTAAAATCCAATTAATTACAATGAACCTCAAATTCAGAATTTTACTAGTTTGTTCATTGAGTCTGACTTTTTTGATAATGTATACTAATTGCTGTGTATCAAACTGTCAGTGGAACAATTCTGACTGATTCAAAATCTACTTGGACAGTGTACAGAGTCAAATCTGTAAAGCCTGTGTCACTGTCTAATTACTTATAGGCCCAATTGCACATTTTCAGTGTGTGTGTGTGTGTGTGTGTGTGTGTGTGTGTGGGGGGGGGGGGGGGGCGCGCACCCCAAAACTTTATACTCACCATTCCATAACGATAAGCAGACACTTTTTGCCCTGATAGAGGTTCTCATAAACATCGATGATACGCACAATGTGGTCACAAGGTGATGCCCTCCAGTGAAGCTCCACTTCCCTGCGGGCTTTGGCACAATCCTGTAGCATCTGAGTAGAACAACAAAGAGGGACATTGAGGTTAATAACAATAAGAATAACAATAAGAAATTAACAGGCTTTAGGAAGAAACTGAAGTCCATGTTATATTAAAATTATCAGGTGTATATTAAAGTTTGTTTGTTTTTTTAAATTGGAGTAGAGAATAAAAAGTTTGAATTTGCAGACCAACTGAATGCCTCCAATTCACATCAATACCAACCATTAAGAGTGCAGTGCTGCCATCAGGTGACAAAAATCATGAACCATTCCATTTTCCATTCATGTGAAAGTGGCACCCTCTGTTGGTTACACCTGGTCAATGCACCATTCAACATTATAAGCCATTGAAACAATATACAGTAAATGCAATGGACTGGAATCTATAACATACCTAGGCGTCTCATTCAACCAGTAATACACAATCATGCAATGCCTTTAACTCTACCTAAGCACTTTGCCTAACATTCAAAGACACTCCGATGGATTCATGGAGGGCAACTCGGGATTCAGTAAAATGCCCAAGGATAGTTCAACACATGGACAGGAGGAGCTAGGGATCAATCAACTGACCTTGGTAGACGACATGCACATTCAGCTGGTATGTAATATTCTGTTTATTCTATTATTCAATACTGCTACATTATGATCACATGTAATTAAACTTAGCAAAGAGTGTAAATGTAAGTTAAAGGAAAGGGTCAGGGTGTTATGACCCTGCCCATTGTAAATAACACATTAAAACGCCTACGAGATTGACACAGGAAACCAGCCGATTCTGTTACACTAGTAAAAATTGTTCCTTAGACAAATAAAGACCTGAAGGTCTAAAATATAAGCTCCTGCCTTTCTTAAATAGCAAATAAAGGGAAATAGATTAATATACCAAGCAGGAAAACATAAGCTACACTTTTCAAAATGTCTCTAGAGAATTGTTTGTTTTTTTAACTCAGTTGCACTGCTGATAGAAGTGCATGACTACATGTTTTTATTTACAAATTTAGTTAAAAGATAATTAATGTAGCCCCACAACCTTAAAATATCTTTGTCAGCCCACAGAAAGAATTCTGCCATGTAGCTTAGCCAATGAGCCGCCGTCTGTTTATTTTGTTGTGTATTACATTCCAGCTCTACCCACCCCACACACACACACACACACACACACACACACACACACACACACACACACACACACACACACACACACACACACACACTTTAGTTCCAGCTGGAGTGTCCAGTCTGTTGGCTGAGCATCATTACATTTACATACATGATAACCTCGTTCCCTTGAAATACCAGGAAAACAAGAAATTAAGCAAAGTGTTAAAAAAACAGTTTCAGTCATATCATCTATACCCTACCTTTATAAAGCATTCTGTCCTTATCATACAATGAAAGTAAATTCTTATTTGCCTTATGTACAAACTTTTATGTACAAACCTTTAGTCAGACCATCAGTAACATCAGTCTAAATGTTTTCTCTGGATTGGAGTTGAAAAACAGCATTAGTATTAAATGCTTCCGACCCAAATCAGTAATAGCTCTGAGTTAGATTTTTCAACAAATCACCACCTAAGGGTACATTTAAAAAACACAATTTTAACATGACAAAATACACTTAACCATGTACAGGCTATTAGACTAATGTCAGTGACAGTGCTGCATCAGATGATCTGGCCTCCATAATTGTCTAACTTAACCCAAACTGAGACGGTTAGGTTGAACTGGAGTATGCTGACCACATGAGGGAACCACCTAAAGGAATTTGGAAAGAAATTCCAGGCAACTATCATGAAGCTGGCCAAGAGAATGCTAAGTATGCACAAGCTCGTTATCAGTATAAGGGGGAGATGTGCGAGGAATTGAAAATTCCACTTTTCCACTACACTTTGACTTCCTACCCATATCCAAATGCTTTATGTTTTGTTTTAATGTCACCACTGCTTTCCAGTGGGAAAACAGGGAAAAACAAAAGAGTCAATGTGTCAAAACCTTTCACTGGAATGTCCCTGCATGGTACAAAACACATGGATTGTTAAGGTGAGAATCAAATGTCTTAGGGCTCACTGACCATTAAAAAGTGACAGTGTTATCCAGGAGGAGTATGGTGTGATGTATGAGTCCACTTTATGTCAACACTGAACTCACAGGACAGTTCAACCACCCTTTGCAACAGAACAAACAAGGGTGGGTCTTACTTCCTTCGTCAAAAAAGGAACGAGTCTATGGATACACACAGGCATGAAGGGAACAGAGGCTTCTGTGACATAACAGTTGATATTTTGTGCACATCTTGTGAATCAATTTAAAAAATAGATTTTGAAAATTAAAAATCCACGGTGCAGCGTGGCACATTATCACATGTCCTTCATCCTGACAGCAGGCTGTACAATCTACACATTTGAAATATAAAAATAAATTTATGAAATACAAAAAATAAAAAGTAGCTCACTGCTGGTTTACTTCACTTGTGAGAGACTATGCATAATAACACGACCGTCACAGGAGGAAGAGATCCACTGTATCAGAATTAGTCAGCAGCCAGTTTCTACCTGGAGTCTGGGAAGGCGGGAACAATAGGTAATATAAACTACAAACATACCCCAGCTCCTAGATACAAATAAAATGGAACAAACAAACAAACATACGCAAAAAAAACAGCCCAATACCTTAAACACATAAAACAAGGACATATACACATACAGTGGGGCAAAAAAGTATTTAGTCAGCCACCAATTGTGCAAGTTCCCCCACCTAAAATGATGACAGAGGTCAGTAATTTGCACCAGAGGTACACTTCAACTGTGAGAGACAGAATGTGAAAAAAAAATCCATGAATCCACATGGTAGGATTTGTAAAGAATTTATTCGTAAATCAGGGTGGAAAATAAGTATTTGGTCAATAACAAAAATACAACTCAATACTTTGTAACATAACCTTTGTTGGCAATAACAGAGGTCAAACGTTTACTATAGGTCTTTACCAGGTTTGCACACACAGTAGCTGGTATTTTGGCCCATTCCTCCATGCAGATCTTCTCGAGAGCAGTGATGTTTTGGGGCTGTCGCCGAGCAACACGGACTTTCAACTCCCGCCACAGATTTTCTATGGGGTTGAGGTCTGGAGACTGGCTAGGCCACTCCAGGACTTTCAAATGCTTCTTACGGAGCCACTCCTTTGTTGCCCGGGCGGTGTGTTTTGGATCATTGTCATGTTGGAAGACCCAGCCTCGTTTCATCTTCAAAGTTCTCACTGATGGAAGGAGGTTTTGGCTCAAAATCTCACGATACATGGCCCCATTCATTCTGTCCTTAACACGGATCAGTCGTCCTGTCCCCTTGGCAGAAAAACAGCCCCATAGCATGATGTTTCCACCCCCATGCTTCACAGTAGGTATGGTGTTCTTGGGATGCAACTCAGTATTCTTCTTCCTCCAAACACGACGAGTTGAGTTTATACCAAAAAGTTCTACTTTGGTTTCATCTGACCACATGACATTCTCCCAATCCTCTGCTGTATCATCCATGTGCTCTCTGGCAAACTTCAGACGGGCCTGGACATGCACTGGCTTCAGCAGCGGAACACGTCTGGCACTGCGGGATTTGATTCCCTGCCGTTGTAGTGTGTTACTGATGGTGACCTTTGTTACTTTGGTCCCAGCTCTCTGCAGGTCATTCACCAGGTCCCCCCGTGTGGTTCTGGGATCTTTGCTCACCGTTCTCATGATCATTTTGACCCCACGGGATGAGATCTTGCGTGGAGCCCCAGATCGAGGGAGATTATCAGTGGTCTTGTATGTCTTCCATTTTCAGATGATTGCTCCCACAGTTGCTTTTTTCACACCAAGCTGCTTGCCTATTGTAGATTCACTCTTCCCAGTCTGCTGCAGGTCTACAATACTTTTCCTGGTGTCCTTCGAAAGCTCTTTGGTCTTGGCCATGGCGGAGTTTGGAGTCTGACTGTTTGAGGCTGTGGACAGGTGTCTTTTATACAGATGATGAGTTCAAACAGGTGCCATTCATACAGGTAACGAGTGGGGGACAGAAAAGCTTCTTACAGAAGACGTTACAGGTCTGTGAGAGCCAGAGATTTTCCATGTTTGAGGTGACCAAATACTTATTTTCCACCCTAATTTACGAATAAATTCTTTACAAATCCTACCATGTGAATTCATGGATATTTTTTCACATTCTGTCTCTCACAGTTGAAGTGTACCTCTGGTGCAAATTACTGACCTCTGTCATCATTTTAAGTGGGGGAACTTGCACAATTGGTGGCTGACTAAATACTTTTTTGCCCCACTGTATATGCTCCCCATTCAGTATATAAAATTACTATAGACCATTTTATAATACATCTCGCATATTTAACAAATTAGTGTTGCTGTCTTGTCTTTGTGTCTGTTCATGTAGGCATTTGTAGAGTGAATGATTTTGGGTATGCAACCTTCAAAGGCAGGCTTACAAAAACAGTACACAGCCAGACGGTGACGATGCTATGCGTAGGTCAAATGCTGTTGAAAGCAGAGTTCAGTACAAAGGGGAAGAGGTGCAAAAAAAAAAAAAAGAAAAAAAAAAAAGAGATAAAAGATCAAAAAAAGCAGCCTAAAACACAGACAGCTGCTGCAGTAGACAGACCAAACCAACTCCCTTAGTTCAGTACATTCTGTGATTCAATTAATTACCGAATACACTGTAATATCTCTCTGGACAGAACAAGTACAATAACAAAGTGTGAGTTACACTGGGAACACGTTAGTGCACTAGCTGTTTTCCATCAGTAAGAGTATGCTAATGGAGTAGGCCTTAAACACTGCAATAGTTATTTACATGAAATGTGTTCATTTTAAACTCTAAAACACTAAACATTTTAAATATCGGTCACAACCTGGGACTCACCCTGTAAGGGGAAACAAAACAGTCCGATATTGTGGCAATGTTTTTAAATTTGGTATTATTTATTAATTATTTCTAGATATTAGCCCTCTGGTCTTTTGTCCACCCTCACT